TTTAATACTTCACTATTTTCACTTTTTTGTATTTCTTAGAAAGTATGCATTTTCTTACTGTCCGAATATTAAAAAATTCCTCTTTATGTTGTACTAATAAATTTTTTAAAATTATGTTTACCTAAAGATTTATAATGACTTCATCGTAGATATTTGATTATTAAATAATTATCTGGTAGTTATAAATTATTACAAAACATATTTCATCTATTATATACATGCATTCAAATGCACAATATTATACCCAAATTTATGCAGCATTCGATATCGCAAGTATGTCGTGCAAGGCCCGCGGGGGCCCGAATCACGCAGGGCATCCCGGGCCTCTCTGGAACCTCTTGGGGGCTTGGCAAAACCCTACATGCTGAGCCTCTCTAGACGGCTTGCCTGGGGCCCCCTCGGGGCCCCCTGCCGTCCTCGCCAGGCTGTTCTTCGGGGCTCTCTGGTGGCATCGTTGGTGGCCATTGCAGGGTCCAGGTGCAGAAGGGGGTGGCGGGAGCAACAGCACATCTATTTGTTCGGCTCCACCTGGGTCAGGGACATGGACCACGCGGCGCGCCACGCCTGTGTGCCCCTGCTGTCCCAAAGCATCGGTGAGGCAGAGAATTGGTATTGCATTGTGCCCAAGATTAAGCGACGGCTTGGCCAAAGTGGGGGACGACAAATTTACTTGCCCGTCGTGCGTGGGCGGCATTGAGCTCCATACGAACACTGAGCTCCTCAAGGTAGGAGTCACGTGTAGATTCGACAAGAGGCGAGAATCGCATGGGCCCGAAAAATTAAAAACTTGCATCTCAGCTGGGCAGGCGCCTTCAACGATATCACCACCATCCAAAATTTCATATTCAAGTAACGTCCAGTCTCGCTGCTTGATTGGCTTACTTAGAGCAGTCTTGATGAGAATATCTGCGTTCCCCTTGGAAATAACTTGAAAGACGCGAAGCGGCACAGCAGCGCCTGGCGCCGATGGGAACGATACGAACGAATATAGCGGCAGCGATTCCAAGAAGTATTGATCGAGCAACTTGTGATCATCTGAGATCTCGCCCTCGCCCTCATCCTCGTCGACGGCGTGGGCCATGAGTGCATCGCCCCCCGCGTCTGCTACAGCTGGACCTCCTCCGTCAACGTCGACATCATCTGCATGCGCCTCTAGTGGTGGCAGTGGCGCTGGACGATGGGCTGGCCAGTCGATTGGGTCAAAGGCCCGATCTAGCTGGCATACCCTCTGGAGGAACGCTCTTCTCTGGCAACGGCGGCCGCGCCCTGTGCAATCTGCCAAGGCACTCTTGTATGAATTCCACAGTTTTTGTCTATCAACCTCCGCTGCCTCGCACAGGTCATCAAAGTCACGCAAATTCTGGTTGAGTCTGGCACTTCCTGCGATCCAACCCCACTTCGCTGCTCTGGTTTTGCCGCAAATCCTTGAGACTTGAGCATGCGGACCTTCTCCTGGCTTGTCGTCCAACGGGATGCCTCGGAGGTCCCGCATGTGGGCAGCAAGCCGAGGCGACATCCCAGAGCCGTCGGCGCCCATGGCCAGCAACGTTGGGCCCTCCATCCCGATGATGTCCCTGGTGAGCTGGTGATGCATCGACGGGTCGATGCGTCGCCATTGTTCCATTATCTGATCACGGACGCCTGCCTTGTCCATCTTGCTGAAAACATACGGAACGTGTTCCAAAAATTTAAGCTTCCTCTTGACAGTGGCGAGGGCTCTCACATATATGCCCCCACACTGTTGAAGGAACTGCATGTTGTTTGAACGAAAATGGCCTGGTCGCCAACCCCTGCTCTCCACAACTGCGCCGCTCAGAGTCCTCACGGCGTGATCGTATGCTAAGTGGATAAGCCTTGACTTCTTGTCGCAATCGACGCGCTCCCCAGCCATGAGCTGCTCCATGTGACATTCACAACCCGACCCCCAGTTCTGCAACCCCTTCATCATGGACGCAAGCGCTGTGACGAATTGCAGCTGTGATGTCCACTCAGCGCTCCCAAGCGCCGCGCGAACCTTCCCCACCCCCGATCTGTCCTTCAGCTTGGCTATGAACTTGAAGTTCGGGAAATGCAGCTGCACCGTTTCAAGCACCTTCGCGATTGACTTGCATACCTTCGCCAGCGTCGTCCAACGCCAGCTCGCAAAATATGAAAAGGAAGCTGCCTCTAGAAACTCAGAAGCGGGCACCATGTTCTGTTCTTTGAGCTCCTGCGTGATATCATCCATGTGGTCACGAAGCAAACGGTTGAGTGCCTTCAGCTTGTCCACAAAAGATGGGAACCACCTGGCGGTGTTCAGGCACGTCTGCAGAACGCCATCAATGATGTGGTTCCACCCTGGGCACGGAACTGCGCGACTAAACAACAGATCTGCCCTGGGTGGCGTTCTCAGTGGCAAGGCCATGCCGAAATACCGATACAGCTCGCACATGACGTCAGGCATCGAAGCAATCATGCGTTCTGTTCCCAAGTCAGTGGTTATCGAGACAACCCTTGAGCAAAATGATCGGACGGTCTCGATGCGTGGCCCGACCATCAAGAAAATCTGCCATATCAGTCCAGCTGTTTTCCCGAACGCGTTTCTCACCCGTGAGCCGATGTGCAGCAATGGGAACAGCCTGCGCGTGACAGATCGCCGTCCGTCGGAGTCGTGGATAACAAGGTCAAATGAACTCGCCAACAATTCTTTTGATCTCCACTGGGGGCTTGCATCAATCCATATGAATATTGTTATTAGGTGAATCGGCAATGTCAAGAAAAACTTCCTGAACGCCAACATCGATACTATATCAAACCTGGTGCGCGCCTGTCGTAAAATTTCTCTGTTGATTTTCTGCATCTGGGCGCCGTGTGCAGAACCATCATCTTTGCCAAGAATAACCTTGCACCAGGCAAGCGCAGTGGATTCACTAAATCGTAGGTCGGTAATGTTTTTAGTAGCATCCAGCAGCAGCACCATTGTGTCCACGTTGACGGTTGCCTGCCGATGAGGGCGTGATACGGCCACGATTTCATGGTTGGCGGGAGCGTGCGCTGCGGCAACATTGGAGACAGGATGTCGCTTACGGTATTCTCGGCATAAGTAAGGGCTAGGGCTGACATCGCATAGTCGGGTTCGAAGTGGGAGCGTCGTTCCGAAAGCCACGGAATGCATTGTCGTCTGTGAGCGTTCACACACCGAGGATGCCAACCCAGGGCCAAGCACAATGATGCAGTACTGCTGGCGCGCACCAAGGCCACAGAGAGCATGGGCGTCGGCGGCAAACTCGCCGACCGTCGCCCCTCCCATGAGGCGTTCGGCCGAACACCTCGACAACAGGATCGACGCGGACGCGTTGCCATCTACAACGACAGGCCGCTCCAGACTGCAAGCACGAACCGTGACGTAGCTGACGAAATGGGTGGGGCTGCACGTCGAGCGTCTCTCCGCCAGCGATCTCATGATGGCCTCGTGGTGCGGCGGCTCGTCATCCGCATTGCCAAACACCCAATGTCCCAAGGCAATGCCGACGAGCCGCCTGTCATCGCCTCCGCCCTCACTGCCAGGAAACTCATCATTCCAGAACCCGCTGCGGTGAGATACCACAAGAAAGATCGCCATCGGCCCGTGGTCGGGCGCTCGGGCTCTCAATCGCGCCCTGGGGCCTGGAGCGGCCAAGACAAGGCCCTCGTCGCCGTCCACATCCCCAGCAGCAACATCGCCAGGCTCAGGCGCCCTGGCAGGCACATCCCCGTCTATCTCTGGGTCGCCTAGCATGGACAAGGCGCGAGAGAAATGAATTCGAATGCCATGCTTGGAAAACATTTGAGCACACATGGATATGGAGAATAATGGATTGAGCACGCATTTGACCATTCAAACATAACATTTGAACATACATGGAATAATGGACATTTGAACAAATATTTGAGCACACATTTGACCATTCAAAAATAAAGGGGGGCGTCATCATACTCCTGATTACGGGGGGGATCATGAAGGGGGGGCGGGTCAGCAGTAACTCGCACGTTCTAGTGTGTTTCTTTTCTCTGCCCAATGTATCGTTCATTGTCCTCCTCATCGTCCTCCACCCTCCCCCTTCGCATCCTATCGCATTCTTCTACCTCCTGCTCATACTTCTCCTCCTGTCCCGACTTCCCCTCCACTTCTTTGTTCCGTAGCCATTTTGGCAGAAACCGTGTGGCGCGTCGGAAACTGGGACGCATGCCGTGGGCATTGTATAACGTCGGAGACTCGAGTGGGACTTCGGGCCACACCCTGCGACGATTACCTAAGAAAGGGAAGAATCAACACTGAGAGGGGGGGGTGTTGAGGAGCCTGGGGACTAGGAGAGACCACAGTAAAGTGTCTTATCTTTGAGTTAAGGGTGGAACCCATGGCATACCAGTCCCCAGACCCCCTCCCGGGGTCCCAACGCACCAGTTCTCCGAGCTGCGCTCGGCCGTGGCGGCGACGGGCCTTCCTGAAGGCCAATTTGCAGTTGTTCCGACTCGCCCTGCTCGGATGCTTTGCAGGGTCCGGGGCCGCCCGAATGGGGTCCGAGCAGATGCGGTCGGAGCATCGCGCCGCACTGACGCTGCATCGCCGAGGCATCGGCGATGCATCGCCGACGTCGGCGACGCGTCGGCGCCGCCGGCGTGGAGAAGACCTGGCTCCACATCGAGCTGCACTGGCGATACATCGGCGATGCGGCGCGATCCTCCGACCAGACCCCATCGGCTACACGCAAGAGTGAGCCTGGGCAAGAGTGACCTTTGGTGCGCGGCGTTACGGGGGACGCGGGGTGGCCAAACCTGGGCGCGCAAGCCGCTGCTACCGCTTCGCGCTCAGCGATCGGGGGACCCCGTTGGGCCCGCACCAAAGGTCACTCCTGCGAAAGGTCCCGTCACTCCAGCGTTCAGGGTACCGCGTCGTCGTCGTCGTCGTCGTCGTCGTCGTCGTCGTCGTCGTCGTCTTACGGCTCGTCGACCCCGTCCGGGAGGCCCAGAGGGGCCCCGACCTGCCCGCACCCGCGCCGGCGAGGTCGGCGCCGCCGAGGTCGACGCCGAGGAGCGCCGCGGCCGCGGCCGCGGACGTCAGCGCGGCGGCCCGCTCCGCGGCCGTGGGCGCGGTCAGCTCCGGGGGCGCCGAGGCCCCGCAGTGCGCGCAGGGGCGGCTCCGCGCCTCCGCCTCGGCGAGCGCCTGGCCCGAAGAGGGGCATCGACTACAGTCGGGGCGTTGACCTAAGGAACCCTAGATAAGGAACGAGGCCCCTTTTTTCCATAAGTTAACCTTCGATCTCCCATCGAAAACACAAGGAAAGCCTGGGGCAAGCTGTGAAACACTGAAGGAACGCGGAGTCCCTCCCCAACGAAAAGGGTTCCTTCTTCAGGGCCCCGACTGTACAGCATTGGTCTACCCCACAACTGATTTTCTCGCCGAATCTACAAAATTCTTAGAGTGCTCGTTGAGCTGGCTGTTCAAAAGTGCTCTGTTGAGCTGGGCTGTGTAACGTCCGCGTCACGTCCCCCGAACGCTCCTGGACGTGTAGCGCTACCGCATGTTCGCAGGCCCATTTTGAGTTGGTCAACTGGGGTGCCCGTTTTCATCTCCCCTCTTTTCAATCGCGCCCACCACCCCTGTGGCTTCTCACGCGCTTCCTCACGCAGCTGGACCGTTGAGCTGCCGAATGTCTCCCTGCCCGCGGGGTTCCGGTTACCTCGTTGTCGGGTGGGATCACGACCTACCACCTGAGTAGGTTTTCACCTCTTGTTGTGCGCTTATGAGCTTTCTTCTCAGGCACTGTTTGTTCCCAGGCGCTTGCAGCTAAGTTTAAATCGCACCTGTCCTGAGCAGGCCACGATTGCACGCTGCGTGTGTTGCCCCCCTTGGGGCATGCAGCATTCAATTCGGGCACGTGTGAGTCCAGATCATCAGACAGTCTATCTCACTCAATCTTTCATCGATCTTTGATGCTCGCAGATCATTCCTTCCACGTATCTTCGTATATTCGACGAGCAACTCAATGTTCGGGCAAACCAATATTTGGGCGCCCGAGTTATCCGGGGTAACTCGGGTCCGGGGTAACTCGGGTTTGGATTCCCGAAAAACGAACCCGAGTTAGCCCTGACCCGAGTTACCCCTGATGATTCGGGGCTCTGAAGTCTTGTAGTCGATGCCCCACACGACCGGTGGCGGCCGGCGACCCGCGGCGTCCCTCGCGTTCGCCCTTCAGGGCCTCCTGGGGGGGGGTCCTCGTCGCCACCGCCGGATGCGCCCCGAAGTCCTGGCCAGAAGGCGCCCAGGGCGAGGTCCGGGGAGCACCGAGGACCCTGGGGGAAGAAGAACACACTGTGGGACAGCAAAAACACATTTTCTTTTTAGGACTGTGGGGAACAAACACACACATGTGGGAAAACAGACACAGTGTGGGAAAAACGCACATGTGGGAAAAAATGCACACAGTGGGAGAAAAACGCACACACACACATACACACAAACACACACACACACACAAACACACAAACACACAAACACACAAACACACAAACACACAAACACACAAACACACAAACACACAAACACACAAACACACAACACACAAACACACAAACACACAAACACACAAACACACAAAAACACAAACACACAAACACACAAACACACAAACACACAAACACACAAACACACAAACACACAAACACACAAACACACAAACACACAAACACACAAACACACAAACACACAAACACACAAACACACAAACACACAAACACACAAACACACAAACACACAAACACACAAACACACAAACACACAAACACACAAACACACAAACACACAAACACACAAACACACAAACACACAAACACACAAACACACAAACACACAAACACACAAACACACAAACACACAAACACACAAACACACAAACACACAAACACACAAACACACAAACACACAAACACACACACAAACACACACACACACACAGACACACACACACACACACACACACGTGTGTGTGTGTGTGTTTTCCCACAGACTGTGTGTGTGTTTTGTGTGTGTGCGTTTTTCCCACAGTGTGTTTTTTTCCCACAGCGAGGTCCGGGGAGCACCGAGGAATCAGCAGCGGCACGAGCGACGGAAACTCTCGCAACTCCGGATCGGCGGCGGGCCCCCGTGGCGCGCGGCCTTTTCGCGCGCCGGGCAGGGCGCCGGGGAGGGAGACCCAGCGCCGATACGAGAGCTCCGCGCGTGGCTCGGACGAATTTATGCTCATGCCATTCTTTGTTACGGTCGGGGTCCTTTGCTTAGCGTTAGGTCTGGCATGTCCTCCTACATGCAGATGTGGGAAGAAGAACGAGAAAGGGTCAACACACATATTCAAAGCATAGAACAATCATGCCCTGATTTTTTCGTTAGTGTTGAATTTCCTCCTGTGTAGGGACATGCCCGAATTACGCTTAGCGTGTCGAAGGCGGCGGCCCTGGCAAGCGGATAGCGGCGTGTCGCCCCGCCCTGCGGGGCAGAAAGCTCGGAAAGGCTAGCGAACTGGATAGCGTGCCGCGCCCGAAGCGTGGTGGGCCAGAACCGGCGGAGCGACACGCCGAGCCAAAGTTCCTGACCGTAGCATTCGAGTAGGGGATCGACTCGTTGAATCCATGAACAATCCGTAGATCTCCGCATCTTCTGCGCATTGCTCGTGGCTTCGGCGAGAACATCAAGTCTGGGGTGAATCAGTTCTGCAGTCGATCCCCTGCTCGAAGCATCGGCGGGCGCGCGCCTGGTGGCGGCAGGCGATCCGCAGCTTCCGCAGCAGCTCCGCGTCCAGGGGCGCCGGCGGCCCGTCGCGGCTCGGCGCGGCGGGGCCTTCGAAGGCCTCGTCGTCGCTGCCGCCCGCGATGACGTTGGCGTTGCGCAGGAGGTTGGCGAGCCGCGCTGCGCCGCCCCCGGCCTCGTCGGGCGCACGAGGAGAACTAGACAACGCGCAGTTCACTGCTCGCAAAGTAAGACTGCTCGCCAGTGGCCCGAATCCGCCGCGTGGGGTTCACGATCCATGGCATCGAGGCAACGATGAGGGCGACGATCAGTAACGGGTCTTGCGCGAGGTGGCGCAGCGACCTTACGCGGTGGCTTACGCGGGCCGCCGGCGCGGCGCGCTGCTTTGGAAACGAGGGCACTTGCGCGCGACCCTACGCGAGGAGCTTGCGCGCGAATAATGTCGGCGCAGTCGACTCCGTTGCTTTGCGCTGCCCGTGAGATTTGCTCAAAACGTTCACGGGCAACTAGGCACTGTGCGAGCAGCGGAGCGCGCGCTCGCTGAAGCACGGGGCCTGGGCCCTTCGCAGGCCTCCCGTCGGGACCGCCGCGTCACCTCGAGCTGGGCTCTGTGCTGGCCCTGGGGCGCGCGCGGAGGCCACGAGCAGCGCAACGTCTGCGTGGCCCGTGCCCCTCGGAGCCCCTCTCTTCCTCGCGGCGCCCGCCGCGGCCTCCGCCTCGAAGTGCTGCCGGCCGTCGAGGAACCACGTCGTCATCGCGAAGCGGTCGCGGCATGCCGGGCGGACCTCGTGGGGGCACTCCTCGGTCGCCCAGAAGAGGAGCAGGCGGTTCGCAAGTGGCGCGACGTCGCGGCGAACACGAGTCGGGGGCGTGCTGTGGAAGAGGCGCAGCGCTCCGCCGTGCTCAGGGCGCCAGTCACAGTTCAGGTAGTACAGGGCAGTCAGGACTGCTCGACGTCCTGTGTCGGAATGCTTCATATACCTCCCCCGCGCATTTCCAGGGTAGAGCGCAACCATTGTGTTCTCGCGGAACGAGATTCGCCGAAGCCTGCTGGCCACTTTCGGGTCCGCGCTGCCAGAGCGTCGCAACGAGGTCAAAAACTCGTCCAGCGCTCCGGTCAGAATCTTCAGGCTCCCTGCACGGCCATCTGAGTCATTAATCCAAATGCGCTGGTCGCCCTGAACCGTCCACTTCCGAGGCTTGTCGCTGATGTTCAGGAAGTCGCCCTTGTTCTCGGACTCCTCGCCGAAGTAGCTCCGGTCGGCGTGCCGCTGCTCCACGATGCCCCGCTCCAGGTGCCCGCCCTCGTGCAGCTGCTCGGCGGTCCGCCGGAGCGCGCAGACCTCCTGTGGATCCAAGAACCCGTCGACGATGCACATCTTGTGCTCCGCCATGGACCTGGACACGATGGCAAACGCCGCCTCTCGGCTGCACGCAAGAGTGACATTGGGCAAGAGTGACCTTTGGCGCGCGGCTTCAGGGGTCCGCGGGGTGGCCAAACCCAAGCTTGCCAGGCAACGCTGGGGGGGCCCGCACTAAAGGTCACTCCGGCGAAAGGCCAGTCTTATTCGGAGGCAGCGATGGGGGCGAGTAGCCCGGGGGAGAGCAACGAGCAACACATGTACCTTAAGGCGCCGATGGTCCGTGCCCTCGGCGAGGCTTCTGGGCGAATGCGTGTAATGCCCGCCCCTCGGCTATTCCCAGACCCCCGACTTCATGATTTTTTCATGACGTCGACCCCCAAAGGTTTCGACCTATTCCCCAGGACCGGTTTTTCATCCCGAGTCGTTTTTGGACGGTCCCGAGGCCCGGCAAGGGCCACCAAAGACCGAAAATAGCGAAACCCCTCCCGTCGGGATGCTTTCATTAATCGGGGAGTCTGGCTCCGCCCCTATCGCGCCGCCGAATCCGTGTCCTCCTCCCTGCCATCCTCTTCTCCTCTTCCTCCCCTCCTCCTCCTTCCTCCTCTCTCCTCCTCCTCCTCCTCCTCCTCCCTCCTCCTCCTCCTCCCCTCCTCCTCCTCCTCCTCCTCCTTCCTCCTCCTCCTCCTCTCCTCCTCCTCCTCCTCCTCCTCCCTCTGCTAGGTGGCTCCCTGCGCCCCCCTTCGCCCCCTGCAGCCGTTTTGCCTGCGGGGCGCGCAGGGCGCGCCGCCATACGGGAGCCCCCAGCCAGGCGCTGCCCGCCTGGCGAGACGCCGCCGCCGCTGCGCAGCCTGGCGGCTGCTGCTGGCGAGGAGGCCCAGGCGCCTGCCTCCCCCGCGGCGCGAGAGAAGAGGAGACGCAGGCCACCCTCCCCAGGGTGGCACAGGCGCTTGCGCCAGAGGAGGAGTCGTGCCCGACTCCCGCTTCGGGTACACCGCGCAGCGCGACTCCTCGGTCGACACCACGGCGCAGAGGTGCCCCAGCCGTTCATGGGCAAGGGCGCACCACGCGATGGCTCCCAGGGCCCCGAAGGCCGCTGGGCGTGCGTGACGACCCGCCAGCGTGGGTTCCAGCGGAACTTTCCTGGCAACGATCGCTGTTATCCCTGCGGCCGCGATCGCTCAGGCCGCCCTGCTCCAGAGGGATGGACTCCCCAGCAGGGCACCAAGCGGTATGCCTCTGCGGGAGCTACCAGACGCCCTGCCTCGGCCCGCGACGCTTCGTCGGTCGGCTCCACCCCAGCCGATGACGTGGACCGCGTCGGTCGGGCGCGCATGGCTTTGCAGGCACTCCGCAAGCTGCAGCTCGACGATGATTACGAGCTCCTACTCGCGGCGAAGAAGCAGCTGGCGGCCGCAAAAGGGCAGGAGCGATCCAGTCGAGCCCCAGACGACCTCCTGCGACGGGCCTTGGACAGGCAGTCAACCAAGGTCCGAGAGCACGCTGTCGTTGAGGAGGAGGTCGCATAGCTTCGAGCCAAGCTCGAGGCCGAGCAGCTGGAGCTTGCGGGTCTGGCTCAGGAGGCCATCCGCCTGGAAGTCAGCACCGCTCGAGCTGCCGTCATGGCGGCAAGCGCCCCGACGAGCGAGCAGGGTGCTTCCGCCACAGGGGTCGACCAAGCCCTCGGACGTTTGCAGGCCCTGGTTGCCGCCGCCCCATCTGCGGTGCAGGCAGGCAACGCCGCCGCCGCCCTCATCTCCATTGGCGCCCACCTCGTCGAGCTTCACAGAGCCTTCGAGGAACATCAGCGCACTGCGGGAGGTGGAGCCGCCACGGCCCAGAGCGGTCAGCCACCAGCAGGATCGCAGCCACCGCCAGCAGCTTCCAGGACCCCGGCTCCTGCAGGACTGGAAGGCTGCCTACACGGCGCAGTCACAGTTGAAGACCTCCTGGTCACTGCACCCTCGGCCACGCCAACTACGAGCGCGGATGCCTCAGCAGTGCCAGTGGCCGCTACACTACCAGGGTGATGACCAGACGGCAGCACCTGCGTGCGACACCTGTGTTGCAGCGGTAGAGCCCCCGATGGATGTCTCAAGTTCTACTCCTTTGACCTCGCACTCGGCTGATGCGATCCAGAATGCGTGCAGCGGCAGGAACCGGACGGACAGCAGCGTCATTCCATGCTATCAGACCACCCGTCAATGTTTTGACTCACGTGTGGCTGCGGGCGATTCAGGTGATGTGCAGTGCGACGGCTGCGGTCTCAATACTTTCTACTCGAGCGCTTCGAAATCGCGCCCTTCCACCTTGGCTACTGGCGACGCGCCAAGTTTTGAAGGAGGCCAGGACGCGTTCACGGAGCACCTTGCGTCTTGCGCCCAACACTGGCACGCAGACGCGGTATGTTGGGAAGATGGCTTCATGGCTTACGAGGATTGGGAGTACTGGTGCATACCGTATGCCGAGACAGTCATTGCTGAATCCCCCAGCCCCAAGGCGATGGCCACCACTCCTGCGGATGTGAGCAGGGTGGCGGAGCGTCTGTGCATCCACGCGCGGGCTCTGCGTATGATGTGCAGATGATCAACTACATGGAGCGCATTCGGACCACGTCAACGCACTGGTACCGCCAGCTCCTTCCGAGCGTGCAGGAGCTTCGAAGGACACGCCTCCAGTTGGCGGCGGAGCAAGCATACCAGGCCTACGCGAACCTCCTAGCCAGGGAGGCGTCGAGGCTTCATGGCTCCACTATCGTGATGGCCGCTCAGACGAGACGCCTCCTTGAGCTCCAGCAGCCGATCGTTCCTGACCCCATGGTCGTTGACCCTGAGCCCCCTGGACAGGGCGCTGTGCAGGGCGATGTGACCTCCTTGCTGCAGATTCAGATAGATCAGCCAGGAGCACAGCTTCGTAACGCTGAACGTGCCATTCGGGAGGGTCGTACCCGAACGTCTGGTGGGGCCGCTACGCGGGACCAGAGATCGAGATTAACAGTGTGATCGATCAGATGCTGCGGCAGCGGGCCCCTGCATCGCCCCCTGCTGGACTGCAGCAGGCTCAGCCTGAGGCCGTTGCTGCCTCACCCGCTGCCGACGAGGATGTCGTCCTGGGGTCGCCCGCGTTGGGCGGTGTCGGGGCGGGGTCATTGGCGCCGCATGTTGCCGCGGGGCTTTTTCCACCGAGTGGGGCTGCCGACGGGCAGGCTGGCGCCCTGCTTCGGCAGGCGAGTCGGCGCGGTGTTCGCCCCCCCCACGCAGGTGCGACGTTCCAAGGGCTCCAGACGTGGCTGTGGTCGATGCCCCCTGGATCGGAGCGGGCGCCGTGGCGGGGCGCGGGCGGCGTTGACAGCGACGGCCCCCCGCGTGGCGGTGGCGCCCAGATGCCTGCCCCACATGTGCAGATGGCGTCTCCACCACCAGCTCAGCGGGACGCCAGCACTGAGGATGTCTGCAACGTGGTCTTCACCTTACAGCTTCCCACGCAGCCCGACACCTTCATGACTCAGCCGCCCCCGGCTGCCAAGAAGATGAAGCTGATTCACCGTCGCTACCCAGACGTGGCCGAGGAACTGACAAGTGGTCGATGCGGCGAGGCCATCATCATTGATGTCGAGCCCTGCGGTCTGGAGCCCCAGCCTGCTCCATCCAAGGCCCAAGGCACCGTCGAACTGGGTCAGGATCTTTCGTCGCACGGCACCCGCTCATCGTGCAGTGGGGCTCTCAGGGTGGCAGCAGCGCTGGCTCCAGGTGGCCTCCCGACCAGTGAGCGGGCAGCCGTTGCTGCGTGCAGCTCGAAAGCCTCGGGACCTCGTAAGTCGCGAAGGGCTCCCAAGGGCGGCAAACGCACGGACTTTCGAACCGCCACCCTCAACGGCAGCGGGTGGCCACAGCTCAAGGACTTCCTCGAGCACGGCCTTCACGATCAGGTGGTGTACGCCCAGGAGCTCAAGCTTCGTGGTGACCAGCTGGCGCGCACCCAGGAATGGGCTGCCGCGCGTGGCTGGAAGCCTTTTGTCTCGCCCTCCTTGGTCAGCGACGCCGGCGCCAACTGCGCGGGAGTGGGCATCTTTCGCCCGAACCCACATCGGCACCACGCTGCTCTCGTCCTACTGTGAGACGCCCCTGATCGACCCTGGGCACGTGGTGGCCGTGCTGATCCAGGGCGGCTTGAGGCGCGGATTCATTGCCGCGTTAATCTACCTCGAGCAGGGCCTCAAGCTTGGGGCTGCCGACGCCCAACGGTTTCGCACCCTCGGCATGTGCCTGGCCCGCTACCAGCTGCCCTTCATCATCGGCGGCAACTGGAACATCGGCCCTGACCTGCTTGACAGGTCCAGATGGCCTGAGCGCCTGAATGCCCAAGTGGTCGCCGCGCCTCGCGGCGCACGCCGCGATCTGAATAATCTGAATTATTGGGTTGCGAGTGATGGCCTGGCTGCCGTCATGAAAGAGCCCGAGATCGTCCCTGAATTTCCTCCCATGAACCGCCATGCGGCAAGTGCGTCGGTGGGCCCAAGTGGAAGGGCTCAACAAGTAGATGTTCTTAAGGGCCCACAACCTCTTCCTCTAAGGCCCTCGTCTCAGATCAAGTCCGACGTCTGCGACGACGATGGCGAGCCGCAGTTCGAACGTTCCAGAGCAGACCCAGGCCTTGACTGGGTGGGCATCCTGCGCGCTGACTCCCAACGCATGCTACGCGAGCCTGAATTGCACCAAGGCCGCCTTGATTCGATTTGTGCACAGATATATCGAGGGGCTGAAGCTGAGTTGTCACCTCTGTTCGATATCGGCCCCGAAGAGGCCCCGAAGTTCCAAGGTCGCGATGCAGGCCCTCGATGTGCCAAGTCTACCGCGGGAGGCGCTCTGGCACGCTTTCATCCTGCGGCCACGAAGGCCTCTCGCGCGCTTCGGCCCCTACAGCTGCGGGTATGCAATTCGCAGATCGCCCTTGACAAGGGCCGCGCGCATGCAGACAGGGAGTGGACGCACCTCCACCAATTCGTTGCTCAGGAGGGCAGGGAAGGGAAGATGAGGAGGCACATCGCGGCGGAGGTATCGGCAATCCTCACCCACCTCATCGATCAAATATTATCCTCCACCTCTGCGCGCGCTCACATGCTACATTTCCTTGGGGATTACCTTGGAAGACTTGCGCAGGTCGATGAGCGTCGACTTGCTGCTGCGCGTGCGCGCTCCTTTTCAATGTGGATACGGAACCAGCTCCGTACCCAGCCAGCCCCTATACACAAGTGGTCTAAGCCGACAGGGTGGAACCTGGCACAGGTGCTCACAGCCTTGGGACCGTCGAGTGCTGCGATTGATATCTGCGAGAATCAACGGGGCTCCTGGCCTGAAGTCTGGGACGGGGCCCCCTCGGAGCCTGCTATCAATAGTAGAAGCATCCTCGGGGGCACGGGCGATGTCGCGCTCCAGGACCTCCAGCACCTTTTGTGCGAATGGACATCGGCTTCCTCCGCTTGCAATTGCAGAACTGCGACGAGCAGCTCTACAATTGCCTAGGCGTGCGGCAGTGGGCGCGGATCGACTTAGGCCTCGTCGCTGAGCCTTGGTATCAAATTGGGCATTGGCGTGTCCCGGTTATTTCCGGCACTTTAGTGAAACGTTTGGGATGCGGCCTAGCATGCCCGCCCGAACTCACATCGTTCTCTTGGGCGTCACGTCTTGGGCGTAATTATCTGGCTTTGGGGTCTCGACGCGCGCCCGCCGACGATGCTGTCAGGGTATTGCTCCAGGCGGAAACAGGTCAGATGTCTCAGAATAAGGCTTCCGTTCGCGCGATCGTGGACATGGCGAAATGTTTCGACGTGGTGCTATGGGGCGCGCTACTTCGGGCGGCGTCCGCCCACCAATTTCCAGGCCAGCTCGCGTCGCTTGCATTCAGGATGCACATGGGGGAGAGGAAGTTGAGATGGGACAGTTGCTTTTCGACCCCGGTGCACGCCCGTCAAGCCGTGCCGCCAGGATGCCCGCTAGCCACGTTCGCGCTGCAGTGTGTAATGCTCACGGCCTTCGACTCTCCTGAGAGACGCGCATCGTTCATCCCTCGTTCTCTGGATCTTTACGCGGACGACGTCGCGATTGGCGTCCGAGGTGCCCTCTCTAAGATATGCGACTGCTCCCTGAGGCTCCTTCGGTTACTAATGCATGTCCTTAAGATATTGGGCTTGCCGCCAGCTGCTCACAAGATGAAGGGCAATGGGTATGCGAGAGGCTGGCCCCCCCCCAAGATACCAATGCGCCACAGCCTTGGAGGTCTCGGGCATTCAGGTTGCGCCGGGCCGGCCCATTCGGTATTCCAAGTCGAGACAGAGGGTTGGGGGGGGGGGTCGTTCGTCGTCGGCCTCGATTTCGTGCCCTTTGTAAGGCTGGAGCGCTGCTCGCGATATTCACTAAGCAGGCAGTGCCGCCTGCGGTAGCCTACGGGCCGGGGGTGCATGGCGCTCCACCGAGGCTCGCGGATCAAATGCGTGCTTGTCAGAGAACGGCGTGGCATGCGCCGGGAGCAGGTACTTACTGTTGGGTAACATCTTGCTTACAAGGTTCGTTGTTCACAGACCCGCAGGTTGAGGCGTGGACTGCGCCTCTATTTCAATGCGCCCTTTTGAGCCGAGACGCCGCCATTCCCTCGCACGTGCTGCCGGCGGCGTGGTGCGCGCAGGCGCGCAAACTGCTATCTGAAGCCAGGTCCCCCTGGAAGCGCGTGGCGGGCCCCGCTGGGGCTACTGTTCTCGCTCTCAGGGACCTCCGATGGACGGCCCCCAGTGGGTTCGCGTGGCGCAACGACTTGGGCGCTGTCTTGGATATTCGGCGGGAGGCTCCGTGAAAGATGCGGGCTTCGGCCCGCGAGGCCGCAGTTCGGAGGCTGTGGGAGAGATGGGCATCGCGGCGGCAGCTGGCTGGTGAACCCGCCTGTCCCAGGGAACCAATCGGCTTTTGGGTGGAACCGATCATCGAGATCCTAGATCCTATCCCCGTCCCCGATCCAGACTCTAGCAGCGATCAGGACACAGATGACCAGTACGTGAACCCAGATGACGTCGATGATGCACGTGGGTCCAGCGAGCCCCCGCGTGCGTGGCAGCCGGACTTTAAAAAAGAAGGCGGTCTTCTTCGTGCGATCGTGGCTAGAGGCCCATGGACGCCAGACAGGCTTCACCGTTGTGGGTGCAGATCGGACTCGTGTTACCCGCACTGCGGACAGGAACAATGTGACATCTACCACATCGTATGGCAGTGCCTCCTGGACACGAGGCGACCAGAATTCCTGCGCTCTTTCGATCAGAGAGGGTTCCCCACTATGTCTCGAGACTCCTTGTTGTGGTCGCGTGGGCTGGTCAGTCGCAGCAGTTTCCCTGCGATGCCGCCGAGGACCAATGATAATCGATGGACGGTGCATTATGGTAGCCCGCAGGGGATCTCGGGCCATGTGTACACCAATGGCGCGTGCTCAAGTATGCGGTATTGGCCCGAGGCAGCCCGAGCGAGCTGGGGCTTCGCGAAGCTCCGTGGAGCGTGGCAGGGCATCGGCATCCTTGTGTCGGGGCCTCTGCCAGGCCCAGTCCAACCTTCTCCTATGGCCGAACTTGTCGCTTTCCTCCAGGTCCCCCAGGTGCGCCCCCCCCCCCCCCCCGTCGTGGCCCATGCGGACTTCAAGGGCCTCCTGGACGGTCTCAATAGCGGCCCTCAGTGGTGCTGCTCCCCTCGGCGTTTGAATGTTGGTTTATGGGCGGCCATCGGGGGCAAAGTTCATGACCTTGCAGGGGTTAGAAGTTGGCGTCGGTGTAGTCCTCGTCAGGGGCCATCAGCGTGGGACTTATGCCCATGCTGTTGGCGACCGATGGGCCGACCATGCTACATGTCTTGGCGGGTCACCCGCCCGGCTCCCAATCTACAGCGGAAAGCCATGCGCACAGGCCTTCGGCAATATAACTCGCTTCTTCGTTGGAATGCACAGGCTGTCGCCGCCTTTCTGGGGGCGGGGGAACGGTTTGACACCCGACCTCGAGGTCGGAAGCCGCCCAGGCCCCGCAGGGCTCCTGTCGGCGTTTCCCGCGATATTCCCTCGGAGCTCCGACACGTTCTTCGGCCCGTTGGGGCCAAGATTTGGCGATGCCAGTTTTGTAAGAAAGGTTCGAAGCTTGAGAGTACCCACAGTATTCCGTCTCGTCGTGCCTACCCTGCTCGGACTCGTGCTGCCAAGGTTGCGGCCTTGACCGCGTCTGCCTCCGCTCCCTGCGTCCCTGGTGACGCCGCGAGCGGCCAGGACAGTGGAGGCAGGCCGAGTCATGACGACCGTGGTCCTGGCATTGCTGCCTGAGGTGGCCACCCTTCCTCCTCCTCTGCTTCCGCTCGGTCGTGTTAATCTCGGGAAGAGACTCTCAGACCCGAGGGGGCGGCGCCGTTTTCCCCTGGTATGCGACGTCAGCGCAGCCTCGCCCCGAGTAGCGGGCCCGAGCGCCACGTTCGTCCTCGGGTCAGCTTCGAAACGATCGTCTCGGTTAGGGATGATGCCTCCAAGGACAGAGACCTCGCGATCAAGGTCTCGGGATTCCAGATCGAGGGCCCTGCGTTTCGCCCTGACAAGCGTAGGAAGACTGGCGGCCATCGCAGGGACAGGCCTACCTTTGCCGCCACAGTTGTGCCTGACCGTGCCATGCCAGAAACGGGGCCCATTCCCGCGTCCGCGGCCAGGGGGCATCGTCTCTGGGTTTCCTCGGGGCACGTTTGCCTTTGCGTGTCCTGTGGATTTTTCACCACTGGCACGGCAAGGCATTTGTTGGTAAGATGCCCGTCCACCGACCCTACATATCGGCTTTCGGAACGGGCCCTTCGGAACCGAAAGCAACTTTTGGCAGGGTGTCACCCTGCGGACGAGGGCAGACAGGATTCTCACAGGATCCCTGCGCCTCGTCCTTTACATGTTGCCGACCCAGAAACGTATTTGGTCAGGCTCCTAGCGAGCCGATCTTCACAATATCGTCTCGAGGACGGGGGTTAGGGTCGCGAGAGTGGAGCACCATCTGGTGTGCTCCCCGCGGACCTTCATCCTCTTGTTTTCCCTGTCCTCTTTATTGAGGTGCCTGCGGGGCTCCGCGATCCTGTCTCTCGGGTGGGGGCCACCGTCATTCTTGGCACCCCGGGTGGCCGCTCGGGCTGCCCCTTCGCCTGTGCACGCCTGGTGCCCGCGGTTTGACCTCGGAGCGCGGCGTCCGCCAGCCAGCGTCGTATCCTCCTCCTCCTCCTCCTCCTCCTCCTCCTCCTCCTCCTCCTCCGCTCCTCCTCCTCCTCCTCCTCCTCCTCCTCCTCCTCCTCCTCCTCCTCCTCCTCCTCCTCTCCTCCTGTTCCCCCCTCCTCCTCCTCCTCCTGCTTCTCGATGCCACACGCCGCCTCGCTGTGCCACCACCGGCCGGCAGCGGAGCCGCCGGCCTCGTGCCGCGCCCGCAGGGCGGCGAGGGGGCCCTGCACCTCGTGCTCGAACCTGGCCAGCTCCGCCCGGTCCGGGGGTCGAGCCCGCCCTGTCGTCCTCCTTCTCCTCCTCCTCCTCCTCCCTCCTCCTCCTCCTCCTCCTCCTCCTCCTCTCCTCTCCCCGCTCCCTCGCCCTCCTCCTCCTGCTCCCTCTCCTCCTCCTCCTCCTCCCCCCCCCCTGTCTGCCTCAATATTCTGCTTCTCCTCCTCCCAGAATGCCTCGGGTTTTTTCCAGAATGCCTCGAACCTGGCCAGCTCCGCCCGGTCCGGGGGGGCCACCGTGAGGAGGTACCGCAGCTCGTAGAGTAGGACCTCGGGTGGAACAAAAAGGTGGCATAAACACAAAGTGGCATAAACATAACGTGGAAAACAAGGGGAGCAAACATAGTGGAACAAAAGTGGCACAGACAGGTGGAACAAAAAGTGGACCTCAGGTGGGTGGACAAAACTAGGGGAACAACAAGTGGCATAAACATAACAACTCGGAGGTCCGCGCGGATTTCTCGGATCGGCGCAGCTCGTAGAGTAGGACCTCAGGTGGGTGGACAAAAATACAGTCGGGGCGTTGACCTAAGGAACCCTAAATAAGGAACGAGGCCCCTTTCTCCCATACGTTGATCTTCGATTTCCCATGGAACAAAAAGTGGCATAAACACAAAGTGGCATAAACATAACGTGGAAATCAAGGGGAACAAATAGTGGAACAAACGTGGCACAAACAGGTGGAACAAAAAGTGGACCTCAGGTGGGTGGACAAAACTAGGGGAACAACAAGTGGCATAAACATAAACATAACAACAATAGAGTAGGACCTCGGGTGGGTGGACAAAAATACAGTCGGGGCGTTGACCTAAGGAACCCTAAATAAGGAACGAGGCCCCTTTCTCCCATACGTTGATCTTCGATTTCCCATGGGGCACCTCAGGAAAACCGAAGGCCAACTGCAGAACAATCAAGGAACACCGAGCCCCTCCCCAACGAACAGGGTTCCTCCTTCAGGGCCCCGACTGTAGGGGAACAAACAGTGGCATAAACATAACAACTCGGAGGTCCGCGCGGATTTCTCGGATCGGCGCTGGACCCCCCTCACTGGCGCGCGGAGCGCGCCAGGGGCGGCTCCGAAGGCGCCGCCAGGGGGCCCCAGCGCCGATCCGAGAAATCCGCGCGGACCTCCGAGTTTTTATGTTTATGTACATAGCGAACACGCATGCCACATTCAACGGTCGACGCCTCCCCCTCCACCCAATGTTCACAGTTGGATGGTGGGGGTCCTGATGAGTTTTGCACTTCGACCGCAGTCTCCCCCGCGCGTGCCAACTTTGAGTTAGGGGGAGCGGGGGGTGGCACTAATTGTTTCCCCCTACCGTACCGGGTCGGGAAAACGCGGACCGGATCGAAGCGTGAGTCGGATCGGGCCGCACCGGCACGAAGAGTCGGAACCGACTCGGATCGGCGGCGCCGAGATGCACGTCAGCGCCATGGAAGCAGCGGGCCGCACCGCATCGTCGGAACGTCGGAAGACGAGACGATGACGCTGGCGATGGCGATGACGATCATCGCCATCGTCGTCGAAGCGGATCGGGGCGGCCGGATTTGGTACTCCAGATTTCGTAATAAAAGGGAGGGGGTCTCATTTCGGGGGGGGGTCTCTTCCAGGCTATCTTGGAGGGCCTGGGGGGGTCTGGGGACGATGTTTTGGAGGGTCCTCCCAGGGGAAGGGGGTCTAAAACTTCTCGTCTGGGAGGGATGAGACCCCCTCCCTTTTACTACGAAATCTGGAGCATCGCGTCGCATCGATGTCGAGGCGAGGCGGCCCCCAAAGGTCCGGACCTATTCGCCGGGACCAGTTTTTCATCCTGAATCGTTTTTTGACGGTCCCGAAGGCCGGCAAGGGCCCCCAGAGGCGAAAAATATGGAAAAACCTTCCGTCGTGATTTTTTCATGACTCGAGGGGGTCTGGGCGTGGCACCGATGCCGAGGCGAGGCGGCCCCTGCCTGGGGGTGCTCCTCGCAGCCGTTCACGAAGATGCCCTCCGGCAGCACGGCGGAGAGGCCGCCCTCCCGCGCCACCTCGTCGGCGGGGACCTTTGGGCCGAGGAGGAGGAGGAGGAGGAGGAGGAGGAGGAGGAGGAGGAGGAGGAGGAGCGGAGGAGGAGGAGGAGGAGGATGAGGGGAGGAAAGGAGGGGGGAGGGGAGGAGGAGGGGAGGAGGAGGAGGAGGGGAGGAGGAGGAGGAGGAGGAGGAGGAGGAGGAGGGAGGAGGAGGGGAGGAGGAGGAGGAGGAGAGGAAGAGGGGGAGGGGGGGAGGAGGAGGGGAGGAGGGGAGGAGGAGGAGGAGAGGAGGAGGAGGAGGAAGGAGGAGGAGGAGGAGGAAGGAGGAGGAGGAGGAGGAGGGGAAGGAAGGGGGGAGGAGGAGGAGGAGGAGGAGGAGGAGGAGGAGGAGGAGGCGGAGGAGGAGGAGGAGGAGGAGGAGGAGGAGGAGGAGGAGGAGGAGGGGAGGAAGAGGGGGAGGGGGGGGGGAGGAGGAGGAGGAGGAGGAGGAGGAGGGAGGAGGAGGAGGAGGAGGAGGAGGGAGGAGGAGGAGAGAGGAGGAGAGGAGGAGGAGGAGGAGGGATGAGAGGAGGAGGGGAGGAGAGGGAGGAGGAGGGGCAGGAAGAGGGGGAGGGGGGGAGGAGGAGGAGGAGGAGGAGGAGGAGGAGGAGGAGGAGGAGGAGGAGGAGGAGGAGGAGGAGGAGGAGGAGGAGGAGGACAGCAGAGGCCGGCAGAGGAGGATGAGCCCCAGGCACGTGCTTGGCCACGCAAGCTTGCGCGCTCGGACGACTCTGACTCCGGGAGCTCCGCAGTGTGTGGCGGGGGCCCGCGCTGGGCCGCCACCCCTACAGGGCGCTGTCGAGCCAGAACGTCCGATCTGGCACCGAGCCCAGGGCGAGTGCGAATCCCTCTCCCCTGAGGCTCCGGGCGTCACAACCTGTTCAAACTGGCCGCTGTCGTGGATCCCCACGGTGTTGCATTTTTTTCGTCGGATCTCAGGGTCTGCCTGTAGCATTTCCACGTCGTGCAGCGCCCTTGCTTAGCCCTCCCCCTCGCCGGTTATGACTGCAGTGCACGGGCTACTGCGCGCAGGGTTGGCCGACGGGGAGCCAGATCTTGTGGCTGGCCTCGGCTTGCGACATCGCGTCGGCGGGCTCTCTTGGCTGTGGCAATCAGAGCCGTGCAGCTGCTGGGCGCGAGTGGCCCAGAGTTGGAGCAGTGGCCGGACGTGTCGAGGCTTTCCCTCGCGGAGGCATGGTGGCATACCGCATGGCGACGCGGAACTGAAGGCAGCCGCGGCACCAGCCGACACGGCCGAGCGTAATGCTGAGGCTGAGGTCAAGGACGATACCGAACGTGTGACGGGCGCTGAGCGCCCGGCCGAGAAGGTGGTTGGTGCTGCGCGGCTGGCGAACGCAGAGCGCATAGCAGAGCCGCAAGATCAGTCAACGTCACGTCGGGAAGTCGGATCGGGCACCCGCCCTCTCCTCCGACGTCACATGATTCTTGCGACGCGGGCCCCTTGTGATCCTGACTCTTTCCCCGGGGCTGGCTTGTCATTCCGAGCCGTTCCTCGACGACCCCTCGGGGCGGATAGAACCCCCTTTCACAGAATGCCCTTTGGTACCGAGCCGCCAGGGGCACTTCACGGGCGCACGGCACCACACTCCGAGTGCAACCCCGCGGGGCATCTCATCGGCGTCCAAGAAAAAAACCGAACGCATCCAGCGTGACGCACGCCGACTAGCGCGAAACCGCCTGGGAGCTGCACCGATATTATACCCATCGGTCGGGTGAAGTAGGTAGAAACATGAAGAAGGAAGGCGTTGAAAATATGTTGGGTTTCGTCCGCCCCCTAGGGAGGACGGGCAAGGTGAAGCCGCTCGATCATTGAAGTAGGAAGGCGCTCAAAGTAGATTGGAATCTGGGAATCCAAGAATCTATACTTTCAGCGACCGATGGATCTACTCGAAGGCCAAAGTCGAGCGAGCCGGTGCAGATTTCCCCAGTCGGCTTCTGGCCTGGGTGGGCGCTCGCTCGAAGAGCCCAGCGCCCTGGGGTCGGGGACTAGCCTCCAGAGACCAAAGGGCGCCCACAGAACTTGCCGCCACGCCTCGCGCTGGGTCGGGCACGCTCTCCCACGGTGCGGATTTCGGAAGAACGCCGAAGCATCGTCGAGACCTCGCCCCCAGAGTTGCTCTTCACGGCTCACTCCTCCTGCAGAGGGACCTCTCCGACGTGAGGCCCCCGACGTCATGATTTTTTCATGACGCGACCCCCAGAGGTCCGGACCTATTCGCCGGGACCGGTTTTTCATCCTGAGTCGTTTCTTGACGGTCCCGAAGGCCGGTAAGGGCCCCCAGAGGCGAAAAATATGGAAACTCCTTCCGTCGTGATTTTTTCATGGCTCGAGGGGTTCTGGGACGCGAGGCCCGTGCTGCGCCGCCCGCCCTGCCGGGCGGCCGAGGCCGAGCGCCTCTGCGGCCCGGCGGCGCCCGGGCGGCCCGGTGGCGCGAGGGGGGCTCGGCGCGCCGGGCAGGCGCGGGGGCCTCTTGCGCAGAGGGCCGGGGGCTCTGCGCAGTCACGCCTTTAGGAGGAGGGGGCGGAGGAGGAGGAGGAGGAGGAGGAGGAGGAGGAGGAGGAGGAGGAGGAGGCGGAGGCGGAGGCGGAGGAGGAGGAGGCGGAGGAGGAGGAGGAGAGGAGGAGGAGGAGGAGGAGGAGGAGGAGGAGGAGGAGGAGGAGGAGGAGGAGGAGGAGGAGGAGGAGCAGGGGGCGGCGGCGGCGGCGCCCAGATCTTGAGGAAGGTGCCAGGTGGCGGGGCCGAAACCGGCTGAATTGCAGCAGACTTCGTGATGACCCCTTCTTTCTTCTGTGCCTGCGTGCCAAGCCTCATGAGGTGCACGTTATAAGAAGACGATGCTACAACGCTACTCCTGAATCTGGTGCGCAAGCGGGGTGTTGCTTTGAGGTCGCCCGTCCTTCGGCGGCAGACGGCGACTCTGCGTGAGAACAACCTCACCGTGCTCCAGGAGACCTGGACAACAGGCAGCGCACGAGCTTTAAAGACGGTAAGACGTGTTAGCATCCACGGTAACTCCAGGCTTCTTATGAGAAGGATGAAGACCTTTCTGCGGACGTCCCCACGGGCTACTGTGCGAGAGAGCTTTGTGTGGCTTTCACTTTTTTTCAGACGGTCCAGGCGACCGCCTGAGCAAGGGGAAGGGGGGAGGGAGGAGGGGAGGAAGGGGGGATGGACGAAGCACGAGGAAGGGTCGGGAGGGCGGAAGGGGGAAGGAGGAAGGAGGGGGAGGGAGGAACGGAGGACTCAACTCCCCTCTCCTGACCTTTCGCCCAGCCCGCGAGGCGGAGGCCCAGCTGGAGACAGAGCTGGGGGCCCCGCAGTCAGACGCAAGAGCGCTCGGCGGCGGCCGTGCGCGGTGCCTACCGGGAGCACGGCAGATTGCATCCTTTGGCGGCGCGCAAAAGGGGGTAGGGGGAGGGGGGAAGGCTTCTTAGAAGCACCCTGCTTCTTAGAAGGCCTCGGCCTTACGTCTATAGAGAAGGCCCGCGCCTTCTAAGAAGCAGGGGTACTTCTAAGAAGCCTTCCCCCCTCCCCCTACCCCCCTCTGCGCGTTGCCGAATCCTTCAGCGGTGGCCTGACGAGCTCGCCCACTTTCGCTTGCTTTAACAGAGAAGCGGGCACGGCGAGGGCAGCCTCCTCGCCTCACCTCTGGCCCTGGGGGGGGGGCTTGCTCGCCAATGAACTCTGGGGGACGCCGCACGCGCACGGCGCCCCGGGGGACACCACAGGGGGCCAAAAGCCAGACGCCTCGGCCCCAGCTCAGCCCCCGTGGGCCAGGGGTCGACCTCCTGCGGCGAGAGGGCACTGGAGAAGGAACCGTTGTATACGGAACCCGGGGCCCGAACAGCTGGTGGAACTCCAAGCGTGGACTGGCCACGGATGTCACCGCCGCCCTCATCAGACAAGGAATCCTCCTGGGCCCGAGGCCTCCTGGGCACCTTCCTCCACGAGCGCCTCCGCCGTGGTGCTGTTCGGGCTTCGCGCTCGAGCTTCTGTCTCTGTGCAGCTCCAGCGCCGCGAGCTTGGCTCCCACACACACTGTGAGGTGGTAGGCTTTCTGTTGTGACTGTTGGGGCAGAAGGGCCTTTGGGACAGAGGAGGGGGGGAGGAGGGGGAAGAGGAGGAGGAGGAGGAGGAGGAGAAGGAGGAGGAGGAGAAGGAGGAGGAGAAGTAGAAGAAGGAGGAGAAGGAGGAGGAGGGGGGCTTCAGAGGGGTCTGATGTGCAGGGGCCTTCCCCCTGTAGAGGGACAGGCCCGACTTGAAGGGTAGAGTGGACGTGGCCGAAGAAGCCGCGCCGCACCGCCGACGCATCGGCGCTGTCGGCGTGGAGGAAGCTGGGCACAGCGTCGAGCCGCACCGCCGAGCGCCTCGGCCGTGCGGCCCGGTGCTCCGACGCCACCTGCTCCGGGCCCCCTCTGTTAGGTCGGGCCTGTCCCCCTTACAGGGGGATCTTCGACGAAAAATAAAAAAAGTACCCCAAACATGCCCCCCAAAAGGTCATACCATACTCAAACAAAAATAGTCCCCAGACTATGTTTGGGACTATTTCTGCATATTCCTCCTGTAGAGGGACAGGCCCGACTTAAGCCTGGCCTCACGGTGCGGACTCGCGCTTCGCTGCTCGTCGCTTCCCCTCCCGCCTCCCCCCTCCTGCCGCGCGCAGGCAGCAAGTGGGCCAGGAGCCGCCGCGCTCTCTCTCTCTCTCTCTCTTTGGCGGCGAGCGAGGGGGGGAAACGAGGAGGAGCAGGCCTTCTCAGAAGGCGGCGGGACTGCTCAGAAGCCCTCGCGCGTTCCGAAAGGTTTTTGGCGTCTTCGGGGAGGGCGTAGAAAACTTATTGGAGGAGGAGGAGGAGGAGGAGGAGGAGGAGGAGGAGGAGGAGGCGGGGCGGGGGCCTTCCGAGCCTCCCGAGAAGGCCCGCCCCTTCTCGCTTCCCTCCCGGGCTCGCCGCCGATCTCTGGGGACGACTCGGGCTCGGGGGACTTTTGGGTTGGCCTGACGGGTCATGAAAGTGACGAGGCCCAGTCTGAAATTCTGACACGAGCTGCCGCTGCAGACGTCCCTCGACAACTGGACCAGCAGAATCCCAAACGCGCTCGTCAAAGAGCGTCGGCGAGCCCGCGTTCTGGCGTGCTCGAGTCGTACGTTTCCCCGAAGTCTCTTTCCCACCTTTGCACGTAGGCCGGGATGCGGCCCGCGATCACCAAAGCACAGACACGTGTCTCGGGGATCTTCTGACCGGGGTCAATGCAAAGCCGGGTCAGTCAGGCCTTGCAAGATCCTGCAGGATCCTGCACCCAAGCCCGGGTCAGTGCACCCCTGGCTCTGCAGGATCCTGCAAGATCCGGCGCCCTGACGGACCCCCGTTTGCATCGACCCCCGTCTCTGGAGCCCCAAAATGTCGCATGCCAGCGTCCGACCGGCCGACCCCCCTCCCGCCACCCCTCCCCCCTCGCGCTCCTCCCGCTCCCGATGCCGCTCCCGCTCCCTCCCTCTCCCTCGCCTCCGCCGCACCCGGCTGCACGCGAGGGTGATCCGGGGGTTGAGGGTGCGCGGCTCTTCGGGGACCGCGGGGGGGACCAGGCGCAGACGCGCAAGACGCTGCTGCCGCAGACGCGCTCGGCGATCGGGGGGCCCCCGTGGGCCCGCGACCAAGGCCACTCCGGCGAGGGGTGTCGCTCCTGCGTGCGGTCGACGCATCCCCTGCAGCTCGACAGCTCGAGGGGCGGAGGGCAGCCCCCGCGCGAGCCCCTGGGGGGCGCTCGTCTTGCAGGGGCTTCCAGGGCCGAGGGGCGCTTCGCGCAGTGCAAGAAGGAATGATCCTCGCAGGGACCCAATCAGAAGGACTCGGGGCGGGGATCCAGGCTCGCTGACACATCGTTAAGGTCTACTTTGGTCTCCCTCCACCTCCTCCTCCTCCTCCTCCTCCTCCTCCTCCTCCTCCTCCTGCTGCGCCTCCTCATCCCCCTCTTCCTCCTCCTCCTGCTCCTTCTGCGCCTCCTGCTCCTCCTGCTCCTTCTGCGCCTCCTCCTCCTCCTCCTCCTCCTCCTCCTCCTCCTCCTCCTGCGCCTCCTCCTTCCCCGCCTCCTCCTCTTCCTCCTCCTGCGCCTTCTGCGCCTCCTCCTCCTGCTCCTCCTCCTCCTCCTCCTTCCTCCCCCCCCCCCGCCCTCCTCTCCCTCGCTTCCGTCATCCTCCATCTCCTCCTCCATCCCCTCCCTCCTACTCCTCCCATCAACACCTCCCACTCCTCCTCCGCCTCCACCACCTCCTCCTCCTCCTCCTCTCCCTCCTCCCCTCATCGCCGACGCCTCCTCCTCCTCCTCCTCATGCGCCTTCTGCGCCTCCTCCTCCTCCTCCTCCTCCTCCTCCTCCTCATCGTCCTCGTGCTCGTCCGCCTCCTCGTCGTCTCCTCCTCCTCCTCCTCCTTCTCCTCCTCCTCCTCTGCCGCCACCTCCCCCTCCTACCCCCCACCCGCGTGTGGACCTCTGGGTTCTCGGCGACCACGGCCGCCACCGCCGCCGAGTCGTGCAGCTCGGCGAAGCACAGGAAGGCCCCGAACTCGTCGCAGAGCAGCCGCGCCAGCGCCGCCGCGTCCCGGTCGCTGGCGTCCCACACCACGCGGAGCCTGTGGTGCTGCCACGGCTGGTCGGCCACCTTCTCCGGCGGCTCCGGGCTCTTCTCCGAGGGCTCGGGCTCGCCCGCGGCAGCCGCGCGCGCAGCGGCCCGCATCAGCATCACCTGCTGCAGGACCTCGAAGCCGAAGCCAGTGCGCGCGATGTCCAGGTGCGGGTCGGGAGCCCGGGGGGAAGCCAGCCAGCAGCCTGGGCAGACCCAGTCGGGAGCGCCCGCCACGCCCCCGCGGTATCCGTCCTGGGCGGATCGAGGATGGGGCCCTCAGGGGCGGTGCCCCCTACGGACCCAGGCCCCCTCGAGCCATGCAGAAATCACGACGGGCAGCTCCTCGCTGACCATCTTCGGCCTCTGGGGGCCGCGGGGCCGTCCACAAGAGGCCCCGGGATGGGAGACAACACTCTGCTCCTGGGGAACTGGGTCGAGCCCTCCGGGGCTCGACGTCAGGCGGAAACAGCAGGACGTCGGGGGCCTGGGGATGGGGAGGGGGCCCCGAGCGGCGCCTGGACAGCTCGGGGCCGCGCGCCCTCGCAGGGTCCCGCCCCTCGAGAGGCCCCACCCCTTCCGAGCCGCGGGCGTCCAGCACGTCCAGCCGCACCGCGAGCGGCGCGCCGGTGCCGCCGCAGTCGCGGCAGGGGGGCGCGCCCGCGGCCCGGGGCTCGAAGGCGCTGCGCGCGCGCGGGCGCGGGCGCTCCCCGCCGCCGGGCGCCACGGCCCGGATGCCGTGCACCTGCCTGCGGCGGCAGGCGGCGCAGAACCAGCGGCCGACGAAGGCGGAGCCCGGCCTGCCCAGCTCCCCGCTCGTGGCCAGCTCGCCTCCGCCGCGCGCCAGAGGGCGGCCCTCGGGGCAGGGGTGGCCTCTGGTGCGCGGCGCTGTCGGGGGCTGCGGGGCGGCCGGAGCCAAGCGCGCAGGCCAATCCCAGGCATCCGGCGTCCTGATGTTTCGAGATGCGGGCCCCCGACCTCTCGACCTCTCGACCACTTCCCTGTGACCAACTTTTCATCCCGAGCCGTGTCCCGAGGCCCGCTACTAAGGGCCCCGAGAGGCCAGAAACCACGACGAACCTTCGTCTCGATTTTCTCGAGGCGCCAGATGTCTGGGATGCCCTGAGGGGACCTCTGCGAGCCCGCCCCAAAGGTCACTCCAGCGAAGGGTCGCTCCGGGGCGTGCCCTGACATCCGCCAATATGAATTCTTCAATGCGCGGCCCCAAAGGTCTGGACTGCTTCCCTGGGGGTACTGCTTCGCCCTGGATCCATGTTTGATGGTCCCTGTCCCCGAAAACGGCACCCTGGGTAGCGAAATCGAGGAAAACCCGACCGCATTGAAAAAATCAAAACGTCGACCCCCAGAGGTCTCGACACATTCCCTGTGACCAATTTTTGTGAAGGCCCCGAGGCCCGGTGAGGGCCACCCGAGGCCGAGAATAGCGAAAAACCTTCCGTCGTGACTCTTCATGACTCGAGGGGGGCTGGTTCTTGCGCGAAACCGATCGTCGCCGCACTGTTCGCAGACGCGGCCGGGGCCCTCCGGCCGGCGCGCCTCGCGCGTGGCCGCGGGGCCGTGGGCGCCGGTTGTTGGCGGTGCCGGTCGGCGCGCGCCGCGGGCGGCCGCCCAGGCGCAGGCGTCGAGGCGCGGGCCGGCGAGCCCCATGCTCCGCCCAGCGGGGGGCTTGGGGCGCGGCCCGCATGGCGCGCTGGTCTGAGGCAAGATGGCAACGGACGGTGGTGGTGATGGTGGTGCTGATGGCGATGACGAGGACGAGAACGAGGATGATGAGGAAGATGAGGAAACTGAGGATGATGATGATGATGATGATGACGAGGAGGAGGAGGATGGGGATGATGATGGCGATGCTGAGAATGAGGCTGAGGATGATGAGGATGATACAGATAAGGATCAGTATAAGGGTGAGGATGATGAGGATGACAAGGATGTTGACGGTGGGTTTGAGGCAGAGGGGCATGTCAAGCAGGAGGAAAGATGAGGGGGCAGGGACATGCCCACTGCACTTCGTATGCCTTCGACGTAGAAGACTGAGCGATGCTGTGTTGCTCGCTGCCGACCCTGCCGCCACTACCGCCGCTGCAGCTCACAACGTAGGCTGCCACTGCTATCCCATGGTCACTTTTTCTACTGCTATCAGTGCTTGCCTCGATGCCGCAACGTGTGCTGCCACTGCCGCTGCTGCTTCTCATCGCCGGTGCTGGCTGCCGCCAACTCTCGCCGTCTCTCGGCGGGCTCACCCCGAACGGCACGCCGACGCGTGGTGTTTGGGGTCTCCCCGAGGTGGCCTGGCCCTTTGGCTCCTTCTTTCTCGGGACCCTGATCGGGTGCGCCATGGACTGACAAGGGACCAACCGTCCCGGCATTCCTGTAGGCCTACCACGACATGTTCTTAGAAATCAAAAGTGCTATCGGAACGAAACAAAGTTCTTAGAACATAAGCCCGATGTATGAAACCAAGACAGTCTCAGCCAGAAATGTTCTAAGAACATTCCGTGCAGACCGCAGAGGGTTCTTAGACCATTCTTTGGTAGGCCTATAGGCGAGCCAGGACGCTTCGCCACTGCGTGAAGAGAGGGGGGCCAGGAAAAAGGGAGCTTGGCACATCATGGTCCGAGGCGCTTGCGCGGACGAGCGGGGGCCAGCGGATGCACGAGGGAGCGCGATGCACCGTCGCTGGCCCGAGCATTTTCTCAACGGAGGTGCCGAAAACCAGGGCTCCTCTCCTAAGCCAGGAGACCCCGCCCCCTAAACAAATCCTAAGGGGTGCTCAGGAAGCAGGGACCCCCGCTCCCCCCCCCTAACCTCCGCCGCCGCCCCCCCCCTCTCCTCCGGGAAGAGCTTGGGGGGGTCCGGACCGGCATTGGGACCAAATCCGGCGAAATAGAACCAAGCCCCGGCTAAAAGCAGTCAATCCTGGCTATTCGGTTCCACTCCCGGCGGAACATCTTAACACGTAGGAAGTATCTTAGAAGCCTTTTAGAAAAGGAGGAAGATGATGACGATCGTCTTCCTTCTCTACAGCGACAATGTTCGACCGAAGGCAACTTCAATCTTAGAACGCACTGGGACGGACGATGGTGTCTATGGGTCATGATGATGCTCATGAACCATGATCGTGATTACCCCTGGGAACAACTCAACTCTGGG